TTTGTAACAGCTCTTGACCCTGCTGCTGCTTCTTCACACTGGGTTTATTGCCTTTCAACCTGGCTCTCTTTAATGTTTTGTCCCACACAGCACTCTACTTTGGTGAAATCTTCTGTTGTCAGAGAAAGATTGAGGGGGCATTTGAGAGCAAACTCTCACTCAATACACCGCTGACCCTCACTCACCCTCTCAGGTACACGAAGCCGTGCATGCACACCAGGATGTTTCCATTGGAGTCTATTTTCAACACGTTCCCATACGTGGTATCGTACACCAGACCTCTGGAGAGAAGAGGAGAAAGAGAGAACGTTTGAAAGAACCAACATCTGGGAGCATTCAGAGCATTCAGTGAATAATTTATAGCAAAATATGGCCCTCTAAGGAGTTAAAACAAGAGTTCATTCATATTTATATTTTCCCCCAGCAGTATCATTGAGCAGATAGTCTGTGTTTGGTATTCAGCCCGTTTTTAATGATGACCTCAAGCGACCTTCTGCTTCATGAGACCCTTGAGACTGGTGTAACGCAGGACGTTTCTATTTGTATGGTTGCCCACAAAGTCTCTCATGAATGGTTTATAATAGACTCAACAGCAACTACAAGCTGGCTGATTTCCAAATGAAAATTAAGTGGACTTAAGGACTACTGTCTTATACTAAAGAAATCAGTTCATATTGGAATTATGTGATGATGTGTACTACCGTTCAAAAGTTTGGGATCAGAATGGTCTTTTTTTAATTTATACTTTTATTCAGCAAGGATGCTATAATTGATCAAACATAACAGTAATCATAACAGTACCATTTCAATTAAATGTTGTTCTTTTAACCTTTCTATTCATCAAAGTATCCTGAAAAATATTTAGCAGCACAACTGTTTTCAACATTGATAATAATAATAAATGTTTCTTGAGCAGCAAACCAGCATATTAGAATGATTTCTGAAGGATCATGTGACACTGAAGACTGGAGTAATGATGCTGAAAATTCAGCTTTGCATCACAGAAATAAATTTGATTTTAAAATATATTAAAATAGTTCACTGTTATTTTAAATTGTGATACTTCACAATATTTTTTCATAATTCATGATTTCATTTTCATTTACTGTATTTTTTATTAATGCTGCTTTAGTGAGCATAACAGACTTCTTTTAAATACATTTAAACTTTTGAACTAGTGTATCATGAAAAATGTGTTAATGTATCTTTTAAAGGACCAGACAAAAGAAATAAACTTCTGTCCAAATAATAGTCAACATAAATCAAAACGAATCCTTTAACTTCTTAACACACATTTCTAGTTCATAATTGCACATTATTCCATATTAAAAATCCTCGAGTTCATAGTTTTATCAACATTTTAAAAACTTTTTCCATTTCGAATACAACTTTATTTCACAAATCCCTCCCTTCTGTGTACCTCCCAACACATGCTTATTTTCCAAAAATCCAATCAATTCCTGATAGAAGTGATTGGATTTTAAGATATAATAGTTCACATTGACTTAAAAGCAACTGAACATAAATCAATACATTCCTGTTACTGTAGCATTACCGTAAGGTACAAAAGCCAAAAGATACATCTACATGTACCATATTTATCCCTAAGCAGTACATATTAGTACCTTAAAGGTACATATACATACTTTAAAAGTACATATTAGTACCTAAAGTATACTTATTAGTACCTTTCGAAAGTGTTGTACCTTTTTTTCCGAAGGACTAAAAGATTCCCATGACCTACATTTTGGAAATCATTGCATTATTCAATTATTATTATTTTTTTACCGTTGATTATATATAAATTTTTGCCTCTTGTGACGACCATTGTCGTTGAATTCAATAAAATCACAGTGTTTTGTGATGCAACATACCTCTAGTGGCCAAAATTAAAACTGTCATGATTTACTCACCCTCCACTTGTTTCAAACCTGTACGAGTTTCTTTATTCTGTCGAACACAAAATAATGAATTTTGAAGAATGTCAGTGACCAAACATTTGACGGTAACCCATGACTTGCATCGTTTTTTTTACATTCTATGAAACTCAATGGCTACCATCAACAGTATGATTACCCACATTCTTCAAGATGTCTTCTTTTATGCTCAACAGAATAGGGGTGAAGGAACAGCCAACTGGCACTCTCTCTTCTTGGCAGTTTCGCCAGTCACGTTTTTATATTTACGGTGGAAAGTACTGACTAAGAAATCGAAAAATAGTAAGACAATGCAATTTGATTGAATCCAAAGATATTTAAAATGTACCTCAACAATTTATACTGAATATGAGAAAGAATTAAGCTTGAAATATTTTACACGAGAACTGTATAAAAAATAAAAAAAAATCAGCTATATGTTTGTCAGTTTACGAGACCTTTCGAGTCTCAAACACTAAGAAATGTGCATTTCTTGAAAGTTTGTGTTAGACTAATAGAATTCCTCCAAATGTTGTCCCAACTGGTTAAACAGTTGTCTGAACAAATTTGTTGTCTTGTGATATTAAGACACTTTTGGTAAGACACATTTTACATTTATTGATTGTCACCATTACGGTTTGTGTGTCAAGTATTGGGGTATATATAAAATCCTCAAGGATAATAATTCATTTGACATAAGTGTCCACACACACACACACACACACACACACACATACATATACAGTGGGTACGGAAAGTATTCAGACCCCCTTAAATTTTTCACTCTTTGTTATATTGCAGCCATTTGCTAAAATCATTTAAGTTAATTTTTTTTCCTCATTAATGTACACACAGCACCCCATATTGACAGAAAAACACAGAATTGTTGACATTTTTGCAGATTTATTAAAGTTGAATATTTGAAATTTGTTGAAAAAGAAATATAGTTGACTTATGAATATTGTTTTTGAAGTCTTAACATCTCTCAACAATTACTTTGTTGTGGTGACTCATAGGGTTAAATTAGTAAATTATAGAGTAAATTATACGTAATTACAATCAACCAACCCTAAACCGAACCCTAACCCTATAGTAAGTATACATGCTGGGTAACACTTTAGTATAGGGACCAATTCTCACTATATTAACTAGTTGCTTATTAGCATACCTATTAATAACATATTGGCTGTTTATTAGCACTTATTAATCACATGACCATGACCATATTCTACATCCCCTTACAAACTAATAATAAGCAGCAGATTAGTAGTTTACTGAGGCAAAGTCGTAGTTAATGGTTTGTTAAATAGCGAGAATTGGACTTTAAAATAAAGTGTGACCACATGCTGTTGATTAATATTGATCAGTAGCCTTACTCCTGTACTTACCCTGTAACGACTTAAAATAAATAAATTCCTTTCAAATTAAGCAGTTATTGTTTTATGAATGATTCATGGTCTTGTCATTGTTTGAAAAAAGTTACATTTTGTTTAGCTATTAATATCTGGGACATTGGTCCAAGTGAATGTGAAAGCGTGTGATGCTTGAAGCCATTCTGAGGCAAGAAACCTAAAGTATGTCAGTGGAGCTATTATCATCTAATTGTGTTATCAATCGATATGAAATGCCATTGTGATAAACAGAGGCTTAATTCCCCCCAAAAACATCCCATGACTGAGCCTGATATGATAAAGAATACTGAATGAAGACACTTCATAGCTACACAGATGACAGAAAACGGCTACTTGAGTAGTCTAACCATTGTTTTTAATAAAAACTAACTACATATATGAAGAGATACCTGCATACTAAGAGCTGTGTTCCTGTAGCCCGTCACCTGTGAGGGTAAACACCCGGTCTTACCTCTGATGCACTTCTTTTTTGGCGGCGCGCGGCTCCATCGCGAGCGCACTCCCAGTATCACTCTATTATAATCAGCAGTGTGAAGCTGTCACCAAACTCCTACAACAGTTCAGAGGCAGGTTCACCCCAAAATGAAACTTTTAGCAGTGATATTTTCGAATTATATATTATTTTATTATTAATTTTATTATTTTTAATTGGCTTTCTTTTTATATATATATATATATATAAAATCAGCTTTTTCATGCGTTAATACTGAATGTTTAACATTATATTCATTGCATACACATACTTCGTAGACATCATTAATCTCTAATAACTCCATTCTGCTGTCTGTTGTCGGTGTTTCTTTGTCTGAATATGGCACTTATCACATGCTGTGTGGTATCGGCGTTTGGTATCAGGGCATTTTAACGAGTACGAGTACAGGAGATCAGTATCGGGCCCGATACCAGTATCAGTATCGGTGCATCCCTAAACAAAACCAATTTAAATTGTGCTTTTTTATGTGTGTGTGTGTGTGTGTGTGTGTGCGTGCGTGTGTCTCTTTGGCCAATGCAATGGCAGTCAATGGTAAACACAACTGGTTGATCATAAAACATTTTTTAAATATATTTTTTTGTATTCATCAGAAGAAAGTTGTCTTCCATTTTTAATGGGTGTTAGTTTTTGAGTGAATAATGTGATATGTATTTTGAGAATAGACAATCTAAACAAACAACATTTTTAAAACATCTTTAAAATATTTACTGTATTTGAATAAAAGAATAAAACAGCCACTTGGTAACATTAAGCCAATTTTCTGAGCAATTTTGGTAAGCCTCATAAATATGATTTACGAGAGATGCCACATTACATAGTCATTTGGTGGAGTCCAATAATTAATTTGATAACATTATGGTGTGGTAAGAAGTCAACACACCTCTGAGGATTCAATAGATACTCAAGCCTTACTAATCACTCTACAGAGCCATCCTAGAAACAGTGTCAATAAAGTCATTGCACCACAGCCGCTGTATCAGGCCAAACCTGAATCAGTGTCCCTTGGAGTGACAAAGTACAAATATATTGATTCAACATTCAGTTCACCTCTAATTGAAATTGGATTTTGAGTTTACAAATGGGATGTGGCTTACAGTTTAACACACTTGATGTCACCAACAGAATAGCCAGACAGAGCACACAGTCAGCAGCCATCAAAACAGAGAACGAATATTGGGTGTAAAATGACTTTTTATTGGTCAGCTTCTGATTTGACTACATGACTGTTTCTGAACCGGTGCTAAAGCTTGGTAGATATGGTGCTCTGGGTGTTGTTTGTGTGTATTGAGCTCAGTTTGGACTGTAGTGAGTGTCTGCTTTTCTGGTGCATTCTCTTAAAGTCCTCTGTGATCTCCAGAACCGTTTTATTCTTTGTCTCAGGCACGTGGAACCACACGAAAACACCAGAGAAGAAGCAGAACACAAAAAATATGAGGAAGCAGAAATAATCCAAATGTTCCTGCAATGGAAAAATACATTAGAAAGGACTAACTAACTGTGAGTAAGGCATGTTTCAATGGTGCATTCTGTAAACATCTTAGACTTATACTGCCCCCTAGTGGTGTGGATGTATGCAAAAGCACAAGTTTTCAGATTCCAACGTAGAAATGCACTATTTACATAAGACATCACATAAGTGTTGCATAAGAGGAGTAACCAAATAAAATGAGTATGTGACGAGAGGGGCGGGGCCGAGAGCCGTGGGAACGGAGCGAGGCCGGTGGAGGAAATGCTAATGCACGACACCTGTGCCACTCACCAGTCTCGAGTCCCATGGAGGAGCTCCGGAAGGATAAAAGGAGGAGTGACGACAGTGTTGGAAGAGAGAGGACCAGGCCTGGATTTTATTTTGTGTTTTGTGTGCGGCAGTTGTCCGCGAGGGGCTGCCGCTTTACTTTCATTTTGTGTTTGTTTATTTGATTAAAGTTTTGTTTAAATGTTCGCCGGTTCCCGCCTCCTTCTTCCCGACCTACGAACGTTGTAACAGAGTAGTATTCATTTGATCATGTAATCTCAAAATGGCAGCCTTCATAAAGAGACCTGCTCCATGTAAGGGTGTGCGATATTTATCGTCAATGATAAAATCGTAAAATCGTAAAACAATATGCGAGCTTACATTATCAAGTATGCCATTGGAGAAAAAAAACGAGAAAAAAAACGTTGAGAGTTAAAAAGCATTCACTACATGAGGCCTATTAGAATTAATTTAAAATGACCCTATATTTCAAGTTATAAAAGCAAAAAAAATCCCTGTATTAGTTTTTTATATTTATAAGATATGAAATAGTTCAGTAAAATCACTTGTGTTAACAATATGCGAGCTTACATTATCAAGTATGCCATTGGAGAAAAAAAACGAGAAAAAAAACGTTGAGAGTTAAAAAGAATTCACTACATGAGGCCTATTAGAATTAATTTAAAATGACCCTATATTTCAAGTTATAAAAGCAAAAAAAATCCCTGTATTAGTTTTTTATATTTATAAGATATGAAATAGTTCAGTAAAATCACTCAAGCAAGAATGCCGTTTTCCTGAATATTAGCATGCGAATGTGATGAAAATGATATGCAACAGTTCAAAAAACAAGTTAATACTGAGTGAGTTACAGTTTAGACAAAATATTGTTTTGCCAAAAAAAAGCTGGAGCAGAAAATTATCAGAGCAACACACAGCAGTGTTTCGTTCCTGAATGAGTGTTTTTAAATGAATCATCTGAGTCAGTGATTCACTGATCCATTCAGAAATACAGCCATTTGCTTCACTTCTAAATGAATCGATGTGTCAAATGAATTATTTGAATTAATCATTCAATGAATAACTCATTAAGGGATTATCGCAGAATATATGGCAGTTTTAGTGTCCTAGTTATTTATCCAGCAAAAGGTCCAAGCATAAAAACACACTAAGCAAAATATTGTTCAATTACTGTTATCAAAAAATCCCCCCCCCCCAAATAAAATCAAGATATAATGTTTTTTGTCAATATCACACACCCCTAGCTCCATGTAAAATAACACAGTTTTATTAGGCTACTCATATGAACTAAAACGGCATCTCGTGTGTATCTTTTTCAAATAGTTTTCAAACATACTATTTCTCTGTGTGTAAATGTTTCTGCACCTTTCATTTTTCAGCAAAAAAACAGGGCATGAAGGCATAAAATGATAAAAGCTCACCACTATGAGAGGAAACAACATGCCCACCAGGAAGAGTCCCGTCCAGTTAAGGATGCAGGCTACCATGAACGCCGGAGGTTTATAGGACTGTGTGAAAATCTCACCAGGAAGTGGTGCTGTCACCCCGGCTGTGGAAGAGAGAATTCACAAGAGTATTGTTAAGACAATAAGGCTACAAATAAGCGTCTGAACATCTCACTGCAGGAGAAAAATGTGTGGATGTACCTGGCCCGCTAGAGAAGAAGAAGATGTAGGTGAAAATAAGGACCATGCTGCAGTATGGCATCCAGGATACAAAGTCCTATAACAGCCAGACAAATCCAGTCTCAGGAATAGTTTCATATAGTATGAACAGTGGCTTGTTAGTCACAAAAAAGATCAGTTTATATGATGCTTACTTGCTTGTATTTAAGAAAAAATTTACTTAAAGTTGTTTAATTTCTTACCATGTTGTCTTGCCATGCTCTTACACCGTGTCACGCGATGCCGCAACATGCGATAAAAGGTATCTTTTCCGTGTTAATCAGAGTTTTGTCCTAACTATGGCGACATGCAAAGTTTTTATTTTAGAACGGTTTCTATTTCTGCGACGTCGACAACAGCATACAAACTATGACAATGATAATTTGAGGTACTGATTATGTGCTTTATTCAATGTTAAAAGTGTCTAATGTCAGTTTGAATATTATTTTGCGTGACATTTATAGCCATACTGAAAGCAACAATAGATGGTTTATAATAAAAAAAAAAAGTATAGTGTTACAACATTCTTTGTGGAAACAAAATATGTGGAATATACGGAAGTGTGAATGAGATTTGAGAGCTGTGGCAAAGGTTTTCTGTAAATAATGTATTAAATTTCCTTCCGTTTCTCACACAAAACTATATTTAGGACACTTTTTTGTGTTTTTAAAGCTGGATAGCTCCAGTCGCCATTCACTTTCATTATATAAAATAAATAACCAACTTGAGATTTGAGAGCTGCTGTGAACATCCTGTGAATAATGACTTAGTTTTGTGTGAGAAACAAGACTATCATATGCAGAGGACGTGGAATAAAGCACATGATTCACAGAAACTAGTTTTACTCTACTTTTATGATGCATTTTTGAAGCTCGACATCTCCAGCCTCCATTCTCATTCATTACTGTATATAATAAGCGCATAAGATTTGAAAGCTGTGGCAAGGATTTTCTGTGAATGAATTAAATTTCAGTCAGTTCTTCACACAGAACTATCATATGACAGCAGAAGATGAGAAATAAAGCACATGATTAATATAAACTACGTTTATGATGCTTTTTTGTTATCTGTGAAGCATGAAAGCAACAGTTCCATTCACTTTCATTATATAATAAGTAATAATTTACTGAAGATTTTCAGTAAATAACTCAGATTTTAGTCTGTTCCTTACACAAAACTATAGTATGATTTCAAAAGACATGGAATATAGTGCGAGAGTACTACTTTTATTAAACATTCATGATGCTTTTTGTCTTTTTTGAAGCTGTAGTCTCTGTAATGATAGGAAAACAGCAGCTTGATATTCTGCAAAACATCTTGTGTGTGTGTGTTGATAGATAATCATATGGGTTTAGAATGAGATTAGGTAAATGCTGACTAAATGTAAATTTTTTAATGAACTATCCCTTTAAATGGAACAGCAATTTAAATCAAGTCACAATCGGCACTCTTCTTGTTAATAACTGAATTATTAGCAGTGCACACAAACTATAACTTGCCTTCTCACTCAATATTTAACCACAAAGCCTTTATACGGTAGTTTGAAAAATTATGATGCAATTAAACAATGAAACTTGAATAAAAAATAAGCAGACCTGAAGGTAAAGTGTAAGTGTGAGCAGGGCCAGTGAGGCGGCCATGCACAGGTAACCCCTAAAGAGAAGCAATCTCTTCCCTGTGCTCTCGATGATCAGCACCTGGATAAAAATAAGACAGGAAACAACCACACAAACAGAAGATTCCTTTAAACCAGGTCACATCATGTTTTGAGCTCAGATGAAATATTTGGGTGGTAAAGAGCGGCTCACACAGGCAATAGAGGTGGAGACTTCACACAGGCCCGTCCCGAGGGCGGCATAGCGCAGGTTCTCCTTGGCAATACCGGCAGCTTGAAACACATCAAACGAATAGAGATAGACCTGCAAAGACATGATTCACAGGCCATGTGAACAACAATATCTTTAAGTCTATTCATCTTTGAAACTGAATGATGAAAAACAATGGCGGTGGCTTTCATCAAAAAGACTAATTGAGCGAGAAGTAAATTATCTTGCAATGTGAAGCCATCAAGCCCATTTCCTGAACAGACTGTGGCATATGGTTGTGTGTTTTGAAAAAATAAGCATTCTCGGTTCAGTCGTTTAGGTGCGCGTGGCACTGCGACTTTTTGTGACTCACAGCATTGATGCCGCAGAGCTGCAGTGTGACGAACGTGACGATGACGGTGATGAGCTGCCAGCGGACGTTGTGGTCGACGAAGAGGTCCATGAGCCTGTGGATCTTCACGCCCTTTAGGGAGGCGTATTCAGCCAACATCTCCTCCATCTCTGGTCCAGGGTCCTTTCTAGCTCCCCACAACCTGCGCAAAGCTGAGACATATTGAACATCATCAAATAACTTGCCAGCATACATATTTAATTTTTTTTGATATTATTGTAACTTTAACTCTATGTAGCTAGAAGTGTTTGCATTCATGTACACTACAGTTCAAAACTCTGTTGTTAAGAATTTTTTTGAAAAAAGTCTCTTATGCTCACAAAGGATTATTGTTTTTGATCAAAACTATAGTAAAAACAGCAAAACGGCGAAATATTATTACAATTTAAAAGAATTGTTTTCTTTCAATATATTTTTTTATTTCATTGTAATTTTAAATGTAAAGCTGAATTTTCAGCATCATTATTCCAGCCTTCAGTGTCACATGATCCTTTAGAAATCATTCTAATATGCTGACTTGCTGTTCAAGAAACATTTATTATCATCATGTTGAAAACAGATGCGCTGCTTCATATTTTTGTGGAAACCGTGATACATTTCATTTCATGTCATAATTCTTTGATGAATAGAAAGTTGAAAAGAACAGCATTTATTATTTAACAACAGCATTTTTTTTTACTTTACTGTAACATTTGAACAATAAACATTAAATTCTAAAAAAAAAAAAAAAAGGAATTATATATATATATATGGCTGTCAAATCGAGTAATCATGATTTATCATAACCATGATAAATGGTTTGTTTATGAGTGTACTGTATTTTTTTTATATGTATATATTAGTACACACACAAAAAGTTCAAACGTATAAAAACAATGCAATTTCACACAATTTTCAATTTAAAAAAAAATCTTTAACAGTAATGTACTTAAATTTTTTTTCAGCATTATATTTCAAAAGAGCACTGAAAACCCTGTTTTCCCATGATGTGGCCCCACATTTTGAACAAATGTTTTCAGATGAATTTAGCAAGAAATATCAATGTATGTGTAAATGTCAAAGGAGTTGTCTGTGGTTCTGACCCATCTCACAGCCATGTTTGTCTGCCTTCTCCAGCAGGAGGTACCGCGGGGACTCAGGGAGAAAGGGCAGAGTTACTAGCTGCAGGAGACCAGCCACCCCGCTGAAGGCCAGCAGCCAGATCCAGCGCTCTTCAGTGCCTAACACCTCACTGACACACACACACTCTCAAAACCCAAGCTTTAAAGTTTAAATCTTTCGGTTAACACATGAATGTTACAGGAAGATAAACCTGCTGTTAATGACGCACCTGATCCCGAGCAGCTGGCCAAAAAACTTCCCCATTGAGACAAAAGAGGCCACCGACACACCAACCATCCCACGCAGCCTCCTGGGGGCGCACTCTAATATATACATGGTGTGGACAGTCAAACTCACACCTGCAGACAGCACTCGAGCAGTTAACATAGAAAAATAGCACAGAATAAAAAAAGACCATGCATTTACAGATTTACCAACACACCAGCGTTGATGCCGTATAGCACACGTGCCACCATGATCATCTCAAACGAGAGGGCGGTTTTACTAAACAACATCAGGACAGCTCCACAGATTGCCACCACATTGTTCAAAAGCAGAGTTGTCTTCCTATCGAGAGTTAAAAACACATACTGTACAAACACACTGCACTTCAATGCTGCTCCTTAAATACCACAAATTTAAAGTTTACCAAAAAAAGAAAATGTACTTTTTTGGGCTTCAAAATCTCAGCAGCCATTCATTGCCATTGGAAGAGCTAGGACATTTTTAAATATAACTCTGATTGTATTCGTCTGAAAGAAGAAAGTCATATACACCTAGAATGGATTAAGGGTGAGTAATACATGTGGCAATTTTCATTTTTGGTGAACTATCCCTTTAAGAAATATTGCACTCAGCCTGAACTTCAAAATTTTTCATTTTTTCTTGTGCCAGTTACAGGAACAGAACAGAACATAACATAACCTGGAGAGAATTAATGTAGGTTAGACTGGTTAGAAGAAATATCAGCAGCTGTTTGTTGCCCTTAGCATAATTTCAGGTCAATTCTGGAATTAAAAGGCCATGTTGCTTATTATTGATTCACACTCTAAGAATGCTCAATACCACAGATGCTTCTGAAAACGCAGAAATATGGAAGCATCCATGTTATCACCTGAAAATAAACCTAGTTACACTACCATTCAAAAGTTTAGGGTCAATACGTTTTTTGTAGTTGTTGTTGTTGTTAAAGAAATTAATACTTTATAAGAATGCATTAATTTTATCAAACATAATAGTAAAGACAATTATAATGTTACAAAAAATCTATTTCAAATAACATTTTTCAGAAATAACAAATGTTTTCAACACTAATTATAAGAAATGTTTCTTGAGCAGCAATCAGCATATTAGACTCATTTGTGAAGGTTCATGCGACACTGATGACTGCTTTGCATCACAGATATAGTCATAATATATTAAAATATATTCAAGAAAACAATTGTAATAATATTTCAGAAGATTGTTTTTACTGTATAAAATATATGCAGCCTTGGTGAGATTAAGTGACTTCTCTGAAAGGTATTTAAAAATTTGTACTGACCCCAAAACTTTGAATGGTGCTGTATATCCAATAGCATTAAAGGGACAGTTCACCCAAAAATGAATTTTCTCATCATTATGTAATTTCAAACATGTATGACTCTCTTTCTTCTATATTTCATTTGTTTTTAACTATATCACCTCAAGTCAATGGAATTCAAAACAGCATGGATAATATAAAAAATAAAATAAAAAACAATCATTCATTTCTGGGCGAACTATCCCTGTAACATTCTTCAGCATCAGCCTATGACCTGACTAGGATGTCTGCTATATGGATGCACTTCCAGTACCTTCCATACGCGCCTGCCAGATGTCCAGCATACAGGGTTCCAGCCAGCCCTCCCATGCAATATATGGACACAATGAAGGACCAGATGAGAGACAGCTCCCAGGGCTCAAGAGAGTGGCCATAACGCTGCTGGCAGGTGCTGTTCACCAGCTCTTTAATAAACTTGCAATGTAAGCACAAGTCTCAGTTGATTATGTCATTCATTTCATTTTATTGAACCACAGCGTTTCACAGGTTAGCACCAACTCATAAGCGCTGATATGTATTGATTCTTTGATCCTTTGGGGATGCCATATCTTAAGACGGAGGCAGAAATGCATTTGATTAATACTGATGACCTCCAACCCCCCTATTTGCAGCTCAAAAGAGATAGTAAATCAGCCTAAGACACTATGTAACTGAACGTGTGATTACTTACAAGTGATGGTGAGTTAAGGACAGAGATATGGAAGCCGTATTGAAAGGTTCCTCCTATTCCTGCTATGAAAATGGCTGCAACAAGCACAGGGCTTCTCGCCTGCAAAAAAAGAAAATTTTTTGCAAAAACTGGACAATCAAACTATGATGTAACGTAAAAGCTGGCCTACCAGTTCTCTTAAAGCCCCCGTCATTGTATGTGCAGATGCAGCGTCCTCTACATGGAGTCTTTATAACAAGTGAAGATGACAAAGCAAGAACAGAAATGTCTAACTTACTGTAGATGTGTAACTTTTCATGCTCGGTTGAGATTTGGGTGGCAAAAGCAGGGTAAAGTTGACGAGTCGGATTCATCTTCACACGTCTCTCGGGTAGTGGTTTCTTTTGTCTCAAAACTTAATGAAACCAAAACGTCAATACAGCAATCTTGCCAACTTTTGAAATGACACTGACATCTGAGATGAGGTTACAAAAACTGCTTCAATATTTCTCCACTTTCCACCAATATAAATAATATAGCAATCGATTTATAATTTCATCATCACAGATAAAGTGACCCAACTGTTAATTCACGACGTCAATTTGTAGGCCGACCCGGAATGCTAATTCACCATGGGGTGCCCGTGGGAATTTCTAATGGGTTTTTAGAACACTTTTGGATTTATGAGTAAATTAAGCCTGTTGTTGACATCAATTGAAGAGACATTTGTTCAGCAAAATAATGAGTTTTTGTTCTCCAACATAAATTACACACAGTTCTGAAACCTCTAATGTCAGTTCTAAAATCTATTTATTAGCAACACTTTTCAAGCACACAAAGGTTTCAACATTTGATGTTTGACTGTGTTTAATTGATGTTTAGCCATAAATCCAGTTCTCTGCCAGGTTTTAGGCCTCAAACTGAGTAGATGCAAATCAGGATGACTTGACATAATTCTATTTTTAATAAATTCCACGGCAAATGTGACTCCATTCAAAGCGATGTGATGGAGATGTGGGCGTCTCTGAGTCTTAGAGCAGGATGAAGCGTGTCAGACCGCCGCCTCGGACTTCCCTCAGACGCTGGCAGTGGCGTAGCATGTTCAACATGCCCACAAACCGTTTGTCCACCTTCAGCTGGGCGAACTCTCTGATGTCTTGCTCCACGATGAAAAACTGACCTGCAGGACACAGAAGGAGTTGATGGATGACCTCTTTCAGCCCATAAGAACTTATTAAATACCAGACCAGGATAAATGACCTTAGTTATCGGAGCACTTATACCAGTTCATGCGCCCGGTGGCGTTAATAGTTTTCTGGAGTAAACAGTAAACTCTCAATTCTCCATATGACAAGACTGTTAATACATGATGGACTGCAGTGCTAAACGTGGTCAAATAAGCCTTTGATCAGCAGCTCTGGAAGAGACAGACAGATAAAATGGTGATACCCTTGGTGTCCTTTGTTTCTTCGTCTTTAAAGCGCTGGTGGAGTGTGCGGGACACATTGTTCAGGGTTTTGACTGGCTGATGGAGGATCTTATATTTTGACGTCACAGCTGTGTTGATGCTTTGCACCGCTGCATTCAGCTGGTCATACGTCACGCGGCCTTTCATATACCTGTGACAGCACAAGTGAAGATCAAGAAATGGACTTCATGTGAATTGCAGTAACAATTTGAAAGATAATAAAACTGCATTACAACTGTTCTCTGGAATACTTGATTCTGATTGGTTAATCATGGAATTCCTGTTCCAAAACCGAGTGAGCTCTCTTCCTTTCTGCTGTCTACATTAGTAACTACATTTCTAACCAAAATGGAGCATCATAAGTAACCAATTTGAGACATTCTACTAATGCACTGTAGCAACACAAAAGCACTCTGTACCTGACCCACCACTGATTTCAATAGTAAAAATTCACATTTCTTCATAGAGGAATAACAAGGTTATTAATTAATGGTTTATGCTTTTGTTTGACGACATCAGCTCACATTATTTCAACATTTTTTTAAATCACATTAAACAGTGAAAACTACATTACCCACAATTCTGCAAAGAAATGTCCACCAATCAGAGAATAGAGTTCTGAAATTTAAGTTCCAGAAGTATTTTTTATTTAATTTTTTTACACAGGGAAATTGATTTTTAAAAAATAACTCGTTATAGACAGACCTCCTATGAGCTCTGAGGTTGTTAATCTATGGCATATAATTGTGTTATTTTACAATAATTTTTGTAAAATTGTAACAATTATTTACAAACAAAAATATAGAATTTTTGTTTGTATATAATTTTGTTAAAATTTTAGCCATCAGGTCTGGAAATATAGATCTATTTGAAGCTTCTTGGAGGCCTCTCTTCAATCGCCTGTTAAAAATTTCCAATAACCATGACACCACTTGAAACTTTGTCATTGTAATTTTGTTTAATTTCTGTGTCAATGTTAATACGCCCATGTGTGGGTGTGTTTGTTTTTCTTAAATACCACATTTGAGTCTTTCTATAATTTTTTTTTTCTCTCTTAAGTACTTGTCAATGCTAGCGACAATGTTGACACTTGCAAATCTATCTGCTCTCTATTTTTAGTGTCACTTTCCCTTTCAAACTTACTTTAAAGATAAAATACCTAGGTGATTATTTATTATTATTTTATTATTCTATTATATATAATATTATTCTATATATAATATTATTCTATTCTATTCTTTCATTTATTCTATTCAAATACTTAAATATTTGTTTGTGTGTGTGTATATCTATATATATATATATATATATATATAGATATATATACACACACACACACACACACACACATATACATACGTACACACACACATTTTCCCGAACCTTTTTTTGCTTCAAATAAATGTGTTTCGTTTCACCTTGTAGTTGGTTGGTTTTTGTTTTCATGGTTTAAACTAGGGCTGCACGATAAATCTCATGCGATATGTAATGTGCATCTTATCAGTAAAGCCGGTTCTGTAATCAGTGGTAAATCTCGTCAGTGAACAACGGCTCTGTGTAGTAAATGCTGCTCAATGTGAAAGCATGCATGTGATGGAGATTTACCGCTGATTACAGAACCGGCTTTACTGATAAGATGCGCATTAAATATCGCATCCGATTTATCGTGCAAGCCTATTCATAATCGGCTTTATGTTTACGTCCTTTCACAAACTTGTAACTTTCATGCTTATCTCGTCAGTGAACAACGGCTCTGTGTAGTAAATGCTGCTCAATGTGAAAGCATGCATGTGATGGAGATTTACCGCTGATTACAGAACCGGCTTTACTGATAAGATGCGCATTAAATATCGCATGCGATTTATCGTGCTGCCCTAGTTTAAACTCTTTAACAAAGACTTTTTTACATCCCTATGGAAAAAAACTAATGAGTAAAATACTTGTGGAGGTGCACTGTTGCACTCTATGATTTTGGATGTTAGCATGTCACTAAGCTAACAGCATGCTATAATCAAAAATGTATTGCACATAAATATTAGGTAAAACAGCCCATTTGTAAATAGATTTTCCATGTTTCTGTTACTGAACGAAAAGCTCATCACAGTGTATTTTGGGATTGCCGAGAGACGGTATCTGAGATGGTAGCACACCATTCAAAACAGCCTTCACAACAGCATCGTGCCTACAATGCTGTCTAGGTAGGCGGCTCACTGGATTTTGGTATACAGCTATTGTTTACTGTTCTGTACTATATTTGCTCACAGACTTTGTTTAGACAGATGTGGAAGGACTCACGGTGGTATGCTGTCAAACTCTGGGACGGTAATGAACTCCATCTCTTTGATCTGGTTGCGCTGAGTTTTCTTGGGCGGCCCCTGTTCCTGAGGGGCGGGTGGTGCATCTGTCTGCCTGCTCTGAACTGCCACCTGTCCTCCTCTGAAGACAACACAAAAAGCCAAGCGGTTCATGTTTTTTGTGCTTCCTAATGATGAAGCAAACTGAATAAGGCACCATTCCAATGTAGTATAGTTGGGAAAGAAACACAAAAACAGGAAATACCCTTGCGGAGCTGCTTGCTGGCCTCTTTTGGGCATGTGCGGAGGGATGTTGTTCTTGAGGTGAAGGGCATCCTGCTCGTCCTCCAGGAAAAAACCTTCTAGATCCTATTGACAAGATCAATAAAAGAGAACCAAAGTAAAAATATAGCTTTTGATCATATGTGATGAAGTGTTACTAGTGATGGGCGCCTTTGAAACACTGCTTCATGAAGCTTCAAAACCTCCAGAGCAGAGGTTCACAGAGCATACATCAAACTTCGAAAGAGTGAATCGTTTTGTGAAGCAATGGGTTCAACTGATTAAAGAGTTTTCGAAAAGCTCCCATTACTTAATGTTACAATTACAGATATTATCTATAAAATAAAATAAATATGAATGAAAATATCACACCTTCAAATGCTTAAGCAAGCCTCTCTGCTCGCCCACATATCTCTCAAAGCGATCCAGGAGCTCGTTGATGGCAGAGACTTCTTGCTCGATTTTGAGAAGAGTCCCACGTTTGTCTGGATCTTTTGCTAAAGAAAAAAAATCACATGAGACATACCGTAACAAATTATACCAGCACCAAGGAACACAATTTAAAATGATAAAATATAAGTCAATTTCTGAACTCATTCATTATTTTACAGAACCAGGTAGTGATATACCAAAAATATTCAGCAGAAACAGCTAAACAAAATTCAACTTTGGTCAAAATGGTTTTGGAGTGTCAAAAAATAGTGATGTTTAATTAGACCTTCTCCGATGCTGTTTTTTGACTGGTAAACATCAGCAATTTGGATGCAGATCACCGCAAAAAAAATTATGCTAGAATAGCAATATGTAAAAAATTAGTGAAGATGGTGAAGAACCTTACTCGGTTTAATTTATTAAATTAGTTCAGTTAAGGCTCATTCACACCAAGTACAGTATATCTCAATTATATTAGTGTGCACATTATCGCAGAATAATGTTCAGTTTACTACAGTAATGGTCATTTGGCGCTTTAAATGCTCAGGCTCTTATGGATGGATTCTGACTGGCTTTTAATGTTTTTATCATTTATCAACAGGGGAAAAAATGGAATTGGAATTGATTTCAATATGGTTCTTTTGTGCTGTTATCGTTATGGTGTGGACTCTGCTATTCTTTTAAATTTAGAAGAGTTTTTTTTACAACTACATTTATATCGTTAACATTCTTGGTGTGAATAGGACTTTACTGAGTCACTCCAAATTAATGAGCGACATTTGATTTTCGGCTAAATGCAAACTTTAATTTCGGTTTGGGTAGAAAATGATTTTGGGTACATCACTGGCAATGGTAAATATAGTAAATACAGCATACCAACAGCTCGAAGCTCGAGGAGACTTTTAATCATGGAAATTTTGTTGTTAATATGTTGCGTCACTTCTTCAAGCTCACAGTGATTCATTTCTTTAAAGAGAAGATAAAAAGATTAGGGGTCAACAAGAGCTCACATTCAAAGACACACACAACACTACCTACCAACAGCCTAGGAACAAGCCAAACATACTTAGCAACGCCCAGTAGCAACCACCTAGATCCCCTTGGCAACACCCTAGCAAAGCAACAGTGTCCACTCTGAACACCTTAGCAAATGATTCCCAATAATTTAGCAACCACTCACTCACACACACCACTGTAACGTTACCATTATATATAGATAAGTGTCGCACACACTCATAACACCTTAGCAACAGCTTAGCATCGCCCTAGCAACCTCGCAAAAAGCCTACAGAAGGCGTATTTGACACAACTCAATTATATTTACTGTATATAAGCTATATGTCGAAATGTCCACGTTTTAAAGCTTTCAGCGAAGGCGTTATCAGTTCTTCTTAGTGTTGTTTTCTTTTTGTTAGTCTTTATGAGCTTATATATGAGCAGTGTTGGGGGTAATATATTACAAGTAACGCGAGTTACGTAATCAGATTACTTTTTTCAAGTAACTAGTAAAGCAACTCATTACTTTTTAATTTACAAGAGAATATCTGAGTTACTTTTTCAAATAAGTAACGCAAGTTACTTTTTTTCCAATTTATTGACGGACAGCTCTCCTGTCCCCATGTTGAGAGAAATCAGATGTTACTGTAGTTCTAAAATAAATATGAATATGCATTAATTAATCTCACTCACAAAAAACAAACAAAAAAAACAGATTCAGTATTCCTCAAAATGAATAAAAATAATGCAACTCAGAATATGACGCAAACCTGCAATAATTAAATGTTAAACAACACAAATATCCTTTATGTATTTAATCCCATTCTATTAACCAAAGTCTTAGCTTCTGACCTTCGATGATCCAGTTCAACCGTACTAATAAGCACAAATTACTCTAGACAAACATTTGTGTCTTTGTTTATTGCTGAAGTGTGTTGAAATGTCTTCTTCTGCATTCTACTGTACGGGCGTAAATGTACTTTTCCTTCAGCCCGAGGCGTATTCATTTCACTTTTGGTGTGAAACGGCTTTTATATATTTGGCAAAAATATAACTTTTTTATTTTAAAAACAAACAAGCAAGCCCTGCCCAGATTTAAAAAGTAGCGCAAAAGTAACGTAACGCATTACTTTCCTAAAAAAAGTAACTAAGTAACGTTATTAGTTACTTTTTTATGGAGTAACGCAATATTGTAATGCATTACCTTTAAAAGTAACTTTCCCCAACACTGCATATGACACAACGTTACCGCGTCAACAACAACAACAACAACAACAACAACAACAACAACAACAACAACAACAACAACAACAACAACAACAACAACAACAACAACAACAGGAAAGGGAGACACTATACACAGAAATCACTGTTTAATAGTTATCCCGCTGTCTAAACGATCTGTTACAGGCACAAAACACGGTCCATAAAACGTACTGTTGAACGACTGTTGATAGTCGCGTTTTAAAATACTTTTTGCATCGGTCTCAAACTAACGACACTGTTTTGAATAAATCGGCAACATTATAAGTTAAGAAAGAACATACAAATACAATGAATGATACTCGCCTGTCTTACGGGTTTGTTTATGGGGGTGATTAGAGAGCTTCAACAACAACAACAACAACAACAACAACAACAACAAATCTAGTGACTGACAGTTCGCAGGGAAAGGGAGACACTATACACAGAAATCACTGTTTAATAGTTATCCCGCTGTCTAAACGATCTGTTACAGGCACAAAACACGGTCCATAAAACGTACTGTTGAACGACTGTTGATAGTCGCGTTTTAAAATACTTTTTGCATCGGTCTCAAACTAACGACACTGTTTTGAATAAATCGGCAACATTATAAGTTAAGAAAGAACATACAAATACAATGAATGATACTCGCCTGTCTTACGGGTTTGTTTATGGGGGTGATTAGAGAGCTTCAGGAAGGGACTTGAAGTCAGAACGCGCCAAAGTTCAAACACAAACACCCCGTGTGATTCGTCCACACACTTTCGTCACAGAGAGACTCACTCTTCAGCATGTCTCAGGTATTTATGTTACTTTCTGATGAGACCATTCTAAATATGATGTAGGCTGTTGTTTATAACACGGGCTCTATCTTGATTTAATATGCATTTATGAAATCTTTTTCTAAGTTTGTTAATGCTGTCAGACGTTCTGGTAATATCAAGTCGGTCTTTTTAATTTTTTTTTAATTTTTTTATTGAAACGCTCAAATTCAACACTTTACAGTAGCCAGGGGGTGAACAAAATTATACAAAAAGATACAAAATTACAGTGAAGTAAAGAGAAAATATAAAATAAATGACATAAAAACATGGAAATGTTTACATACATTAATACACTTAACAGCTTTCTTGTTTATCAAATTGTAAATTGATTTTAGGTATTGTTTAACTTCTGATTTCAAAATGAGAAACAATGGTTTATAATTGCCGTACTTGCATTTATGTATACTAAACTTTGCCAGCAAAAGTAAAACATTAATCAAATAATATTCCTTATGGAATGACATGTGTAAGAGAAAAAAACAAATAAAACATTTTCAAAACGAAGTTGAAAGCTGGGCATGATATGATCTCTAACAAATGAGCAGAAATTTGACCAAAATTGACTGAGTAAGGACAACTCCAAAATAAATGAAAAAACGTTTCTGTATGTAGACCACAAAATGTACATAGTGTATCAATATCACAGTTAAATCTGTTTACAAGGAAAAAGTTATCGGGGTAATATTTATAAATGAGTTTGAAAGAAATTTCTTTTACTTTATTTGTGATTAAATATTTATGAGGTAATTTCCAGATTGTATGCCATATCAAACCATCAACTCAGCTATTCCAGAAAGTTACAATAGGAGGTCTAGAGACAACATCTCTTTGGAAAAGGGCCCGAACCTGTCGATTATTGTGTTTAACAGAGGAAGAAGAAAAACAAACTCAACCAACAGCAGTGTCAACAGGATCAAAAGACTGCAGAGAAGATTGGGGACATGTATTTTTTACAAAGCATCCATAACTACAGCATATTCTTTAGGAATGATTGGGATTTTAAATTTAGACAAAAATTCAGAATAAGTTAACAGAAGTCCTTCTTGGCTGAAGAGTTGGCTCACCAAAACTCTATCATTAGAAAACCAATTTTCAAAAAACAGTGTTTTAGATTTATATAAAACATGCTTATTATTCCATATAAAACATCTATTAGGTGAGAAATTATGTTTATAAATTAAATGCCAGGAGAGAAGCATTTGTTTGTGAAAATGGGATAACTTTAACGGAAGTTTAGAAATGTTGTAGTTACAAAGCAAAAGAAAATGAAGACCTCCAACCTGTGAAAAAATACAATGAGGAATAATGTTCCATATACTAGTTGTTGTTTTTTTTAATTGTTTGATCCAGGTTATTTTAAAAGTATAATTAAGAGTGGTAAAATCTAAGAAGTTAAATCCTCCATTTTCAGTTGTGTTCGTAACCACAGATTTCTTAATATAATGGGTTTTATTTTTCCATAAAAATTTGAAAAGCATATTATCAACAGTCCTGCAAATATGATTGCTGACTGCTAGAGAAAGAGCTGTATATGTGAGCCTTGAGATGCCCTCTGCATCAAGTCGGTCTTCAAACTGAAGATCTTTTCTATGCAACGTCACACATGCGCCTGTATGTTTTACGGTGTTTTTATTTATGTATTAACTTTTTATTTTAAGTAATTGTGCTTTTCTGAGTCATGACCATGATGTCAACTAGGTCACATACATTTTTAAATAATTTGCTTCGAGTTTTTATATAATTGACCCATATCATAAGATATCTTAAAAATAAAACAATGCCATAGAAGAACCATGGGGCAGTGTTGCCAATTTAGCAATTTTGTTGCAAAATTTAGCAACTTTTCAGACTACCCTAGCAACTTTTTCTTCCAAAAGCACCTAGCTACAAATTTAGATATTTTTACATTTTATTTGGCTACTTTTAGCAACTTTTGATAAGTGACTCAAACAATAAAAAGGCACACAACCAAAGATTCCTAGCAGTACACATCACGTGAATTAAAGTATTGCAATTTGCAATTATTCAATTTGATAATAATAATAATAATTTAATAATTGCTCATTTATGATACACTTGGTTGTACCTGTGATTGTTGATCAGTTAGTACACTGTAAGAAAAATATCTAGAAAAATGGAAAAGGTAGGCTTCTAGTAATTTTCCAGGACATTATCCGTTATCCATTATCCATTGTAACCCTTTAACCCGAAACACAAAATACAATGCGTAATTTAACATCCAGGTTAAAAACCTGTGAATTCTTTTCTTAGAGTGTAGCATACTGACTACTAATACACTGCTTAAATCTATAATTGTTCAGAATGTGTAGTTTTACTAGTTTACTAGCTAATAAAAAAAACGTGTAATCGTTCAAAAATGTAAGTGTTCAATAATTCAATGTTGTATATAAAAAGTTATTTATATTTTAACATTATATTATGCATTAATATTATTTTATGAACAAATCTAAATTAACATATAAAAATATATTTTTTACTGAGATTTGATGTTTACGTTTGAGAGTGATGATTACGTAATGACGTCATCACGCAATGACATCACAATGTCATTTAGCAACAAATCGACCTTCCTTTAGCAACGTCCCCTGAAAATTAGTTGGCAACAGTGATCTGGGGTTCCATAAAAAAAACCTTTCAGCGAACAGTTCTTAAAATAGTTTTTTCTTGGTGTGAAGAACGTTTTAATAGTCTGAAAACCCATTTTCCATTATAAAGAGCCCTTGGGAAAATTCCATGAATGTTCTTTATGGAGCCATAAATGCTAAAGAGGAACCTTTATTTTTTTAAGATGAATACTATGAATAACTTTTTCAAGATTCAGTGTTTGGATGCGATTTTCAATCCAAGAACCATGCTGTCTGTTTTAAAAAACTGAAACAGAGAAAATGCAGAATTTATGGAAGCATTTATTTCAGGCACTGGGTCACATTGTACAGTTTCCTTGTCTGAGATTTTTGAGACCCAGATCCAGACTAAAACCACAAAATCAAGACCAACTCAGGAAATGAGCAAGAAACAACAAATCCTTCAACAACATTCACTTTTTTAATCAAAGACTGAGGTTTTAAACCCCCATGAATACAAAAACAATCAAACAAACACCAACATCACTACAATATTACAGTATTTTTTGCCACGAACAGTAGAAATGTAAACGCATCTGCTCCTTTGAACCTCATATTTTTTTGCGAGCAGTATAGAAAAATCAAACTCCGGTGTGCTAAAGTACTTTTTTTCTTTCAGATTCCGTCAAGTCTCACAATATGAGCCAGCTTTCAGAGTCCAAGAGAAGCTTTGAGCAGCGAGGTCACATCATCAGGTAATGAGTCCTCTTCACCTGGAAGAACCAAGCATATTTGTATTCATTTTACAAAAAAACAGGTAAAAATCCCTGTGAGCTTTATTAAAGTGTTCTCACCCTCCTGAGTTGCGGTCATGTCCTGCTCTAGTTTGAGTTTTCTTTCTCCAATTCGGAGCATGGCGTCCTCTATGGTGTCCTTACTTATCAGCTTCATCACCTTCACCGTCCTTAAATGTGACAAATGCATTCAGATATAAAAGCATTAGGACAGACGATAGTGAAACAAAAGGAAAGCCTACTGTGAGACACACACGTCCAGTGTTCTCTAACCTGGTTTGTCCCACCCGGTGGCAGCGTCCCTCTGCCTGTTTGTCATTGTAAGGGTTGCAGTCGATATCGTGAAGGATGACAACATTGGCTGAAGTCAGGTTAATGCCTAGTCCTCCAGCTCTGGTGGACAGCAGGAACACAAATATATCCTGGTCTGTGTTGAACTGGTCAATCAGCCCAATTCTGTAAAAGCCCAGTGAGATTTACAATTACTGTCCATTTACTTAATTGGCATTAAGAAGTCACTTTTTTTCTATCTGAAGTGATTAACAGTATGCTAACAGAAGCAAACGTCCCTGTGGATCATGGGGTTAAGTGCTTTGGCCAAGAAAACAAAGGTGGGAGAACAGGATGGTGACCTACATGAATGAAACAGAATGAAGTGTACCTAGTTAATTTACATTTTGGTAACAATTCCAAAAATTAATAATAATTGGTATTATGTCAATACCACAATAATTAAATTTAAGTGGAGATCCACCACGCACAATATATCAGTGCCATATGATATCAGTTATCAGCTGATATCTGTGATTTTTTTTAATGTGCTTTATTTTTTCAGTACTAATATTGGATATTTAATTATTTACATCTATTTTGAGAATTAGATCATCATCTACTAACTTAAATGGATAGCAGTATATTATCTCTTGAAGAGCACATGTACACTACAGTTGATAAGGTGTCAGTGAGATTTTTATTTATTTTTGAAAGAACTTAATACTTCAGGAAGCAAGGATTCGTTGATTAAAAGTGACAGTAAAGACGTATAAATGTTATAAAAATTATATTTTCAAATATAAATGCTGAACATTTATCAAAATCTTTTTTGATTTATCAAAATCTTGACAAAAAAATCTATCACGGTTTCCACAAAAATATGATGCAGCACAACTGTTTATAACACTAATAATAATAATAAATGTTTCTTGAGCAGCAGATCAGTATATTAGAATGATTTCTGAAGGATCATGTGACACTGAAGACTGGAGTAATGATGCTGAAGATTCAGCTTTGCATCACAGAAATACATGACATTTTAAAATATATTAACATATATCATTATTAATATTAACAGAAATATATTTTAAATTGTAGTAATATTCCACAATAATACTGATCTGATGGAATTTTTTGATCAAATAAATTCAGCCTCGGTAAGCAAAAGAGACTTTTGTAGTGGTCGACCGATATGTTTTTTTTTTTTTTTTCACAGCCGACTGGCCTTTAGGCATTAGGCTGGCCAGGTGGTATCTAGGGTGTTGCTAAAGTGTTCTGGATGCTTTCTAGGGTTTCAGGCTGGCCAGATGGTTGCTAGGGTGTTGATAAGTTTCTCTGGGTGCTCTATATAGCATGACTAGGTGGTTGTAAAGGTGGTCTGGGTGCTTTCTAGGGCATTAGGCTGGCCAGATGGTTGCTAGGGTGGTGCTAAGTTGTTCTGGGTGCTTTCTATGGTATTGGGCTGTGCTTTAGGCATTAGACTGGCAAGGTGGTTACTAGGGTGTTGCTAAGGTGTTCTGTGTGCTTTCTAAGGTATCACTAAGTGTTGCTTATGGGTTCTGGGTGCTCTCTAAGCCCTAGGGCATGACTAGGTGGTTGCTAGGGTGTTGCTAAGGTGTTCTGGGTGCTTTATAGAAAATTACTAGGTGGTTGATTGAGTTAAGTGATACCATGCAACTCAAGCAAACCCTCAAGCTAATGTTTTAGAAAGAAAGAAAAAGTAATGCCCCAACGACAAATCAAATCTTTTATGCTCCCATAAAATCTTGGATGTTAAAATTGTGGCAAAAACTGTACAGCATGCTCCCAGCTTTATGTTGTTTACTATGAGCAACAATGATAAAAATGCACAATATCGGTGCAATACTGTTTATCAGCCAATATTTTAATGATTTTGAATCTATCTGTATAGGTTAATATTTAATATAAATTATGAAGATATTGTATATCTAATTTTGCATGCCCATTTCCCCTTTTTACCTTTAAATTGAGCAATATTCAGAAAAGTAAAAAAAAAAAAATCACATACAGCATTTAAAATTACTAGTTTTAG